TGCAGACGCTCCAGCCGCAGCGGATGTCAGTCCAGCCGTCGAGGCTTCTCGCCCTGCCCTCTGCCGGCGCGCGCGGTCTGGGCGGACCAGATCTCCCCCGCGCACGCAGAGATGCCGAGCCTCCGGCCGGCGGCCAGAGCATAAACCTTTCGGAGCCCGGGGCTGGGCACCACCAGCTCGTGGAAACTGCGCAAAGCGGAGCGGGCCCATCCTTCGGTCATATGTTACGTAATCAGCATGAACACATAGACGAGCAAGGCAGAACTTACCCAGACTGCGGAGAATTTTGTTCATCCCGCTTGGTTCAGTCTCGGGAATGGCCTCCAAATACTCAAAGGCACGGACCTCAAACAGGCCTACGAAAGAAAGACGACCACTGAGCCGCACGTAGGGCAGCGCACAAAAGACCGGAGCAGGCCACGTCCTCAGTCGCTAGAAGATTTTAGGAGCCTACTTTAGCCCTGCTCTGCACGAGCAATCTCCTGCTCCCGGCACGGGATGGCAAAAACAAATCCTGCCATCGAGGGAGACATTTTTGCTCAGCCAGATCACTTTTAATTGGATTAGTAGAAACTTTAAAAAAGCTGTCAGCTTCTCATATTAGAGCGGCCAAGACACAGAGCACTACATGGATCCCGACTACGAGCCGGTTCCCCTCAGGCTCATCGGAACAGACGTCTGAAAGGATTTAGAATCCAACAAAACGATCCTTTCCGAGTCCTCCGATGCAAACATTGCTCTCGTCTTTTGTACAAGTGGCCCCTGCGCCAGCAAAAAGACGGGCCTTACCTTTGACCCCGCTCTTGCGGAGCTCCCGGTCCTGGATGAACCCTGCAAACATCTGTGTCTCCATGAACAGGTCCAGGAAGTGGCGCACGTTGCGCGAGGTATGGGACTTCCGGAACGGCTCTCGCTGGAATACCCGCTCCCCCTTCTCCGTGACGTTCATGTGCAGGGAGTAATGCCCGACGATCTCCACAAAGAACCACACAAAGGCTTCAGACACGAGGGAGGCCAGAGTTGCATCGCCTATGGGGAGAGGGAAACCAGTGTCACCACTTCCCGTTGCCTGCATGGCTGGGCAGTCTTTCCTACCTCCACAAAGCCCTGCACAGCAGCAGCAGACCGCTTGTCTGAAGAGGACTGGGTTCACCCACCATCACGTGCTGCTGTGATCGACCCCGATCTCGCCATGTTGCCAGCGTGCTAGCAGGGGAAGGGTGCTCCAAGACCACTGCTATGGGTTGTAATGTACAGGAATTGCAAGAGACTTACAAACCAATACCTGAACTTGAGTGACTGACTCTTCTTTGAGCACAGACCTGAGAATACCCTTCCGGACTCGCTGTCTTTTACAATCCTTTTTTGGATAAGCCAATATAAAAGCCATTTGACCCACACAACCTCCTAGTCTGAAGTACTATCCCACTTCTCTATTAAACAGGGAGAAGCCCATCTCTGTTTTGTGCAATTACTCAAAAGAACTGCCCCCAGAACCGGTGCTGTTACACATGGCTGCAGCACACCTTGGTATATTGAGCATCTGATCACAAGTAAAGGAGCAGGGATTAGGGTTTTGCGCTAAAGCAAAAAGCTATGCTCTAATGCACAGTCGTCAGCCATTGCCACCATTTATGCCTGTTCAGTCTCTCTCTTCTGAGCTGTAGCAAATCTCTCCGGCTCCATAAGGCAGCAACATTTTGTCTTGCAATTACCTTGTATGTCATTCTGCTCTTGGTATAAAATTTCACTTCTCTCCTCCAAAATCTGGGTAAGCGCAGCCTGGAGTTTGGGAGGTAGGATTTCATCCTCATCCGATACCTAACCAAACAAATGGTGGTTACAGCATGTCTACATAAGATCTTACAGGCAGACTTCTCACAAGGAGTGGTGAAAGGCATGCTGGTGACGTGCCTGAATGATCAGAGCAGTTACTCTATGAAATGGAGCCCACGTGTGGGGACAGCACATGTGTCATGTGGCCACAGAAATGAAGTGACAAGCAAAGGCAGCTACATTCAGATTCCTACACTCACAAAGTCAGTACTAAGTGAGATTTGTGCTGTCTCCTATGCCCATTATGTAGTCCCAGAAGAGAGAAATCTAGCAGGAAGGAAAACCGAAATGACAAGGTGTTGGTGAAAGATCGATCCTTTAATACCTGTGCCTACCTGCTTTCATGTATCGGCTGCAATGCAAGATAGAAAAGTGAGGCAAAGGGAAAAGACTTCTTAACTGGGAAAAGTAATAAGGTTGTACGTGAACCATGACAGAGACCACATTGCAGAAAGGGCGTTTATAAAGTGTAGCATTGGAGACGACTGAAGCCTGAAGAAAAATGGGCAACAGCTTTGTGATCCAAGTGGGATTGGGATCAGGAACTCCTGGGCGCTTGGCCCCATTCTTTCACTTGGAAAGTCATCCACATCTCCCTGGTTCCAATTCCACTTCAGCTAAACGGCGATACAGGCCCACTTCCCGGGCCGCTGGAATGCGTAGCGTGACGCTCGGGAAGCGGGTGTTTGATAAGCGTTATTACTGGAAAGCAAACCAGTCTGCAATACTGAATCATCCAGCGTTCTAAAATTAACAACGAGCTCCGCGAATGCACTGGAATGATTAGATCCAAATAATGCTGCTTCATTTCTGCTCAGGAGATGGCTACGGGTGCCAAACAACAATGCCATAATGTGTTTATAGCAAGTTGTCTGCCAATTACAGAGCATTGTCAGTACAAGGAGAACATCTGAGAGTAGCATAAATTACTAAGTGGGCACTGACTTTTGCTTACTCACTCGTTCGTGGAAAAATTGGGCAGAAACCTCAAGTACATGCACAGGGCACAAAGGTGGCCAAATATAAGCAGAGAAATTACGTGGACCGAGTTGTCAGAGCACCACTCTCAGCTAGCCCGAACAGGAGGGCAGTGATGCCAGGGGGACACGGAAGCCCAATGTCCCCATTCTGCGCAGCAAGCACTTACAGGCACTTGGGCCAACCTGGAACTAGAGCCAAGGAAGCAGAAGCACCTGGGCTGAGGGGCCCTGCATCCCACGCAGACCAGCTCCAGCTCCCGAGCAGAGGGTCAGAGGGAAGGTGCAGACAGGACCTGGGGCTGTGCAGACTGAGGTCAGCTCAGGCTAGTATGTGGTTTGGTGTCCTACACGTTATCTGGCAAAGCCCAACGGGGTAACCCTTTGCTCCGCTTGCTGGGCAGCCCGCAGTGATCTCACAGACCGGTGCCACTCACCTCTTGCAGAAACTTGTCAGCACAAAGGTCAACGATCAGTACCTGGGGAAAGGAGTTCACATTAAGCATAGTCAGGCCAAGATTCTCTCTGCACCACAGCATGCCCGAGCACCGGCCGAGTCCCAGACCCACTGCAGGGTTTCTCTCGTACAAAGCAAGTTGAAGCGATGTAACTGCCAGCAGGCTGGACACTGACAGGTGGCTGGAAAGTCACAGACTTGCTCTGAAGTGTCTTGTGAGCTTATCTTACAGCTCTTCTGTTGTCAGGCCAACAGCTTTGTCTTGTCAACAGAGGAGCCATCCCACCCCAGCCCTTGCATTGCCTCCACGTCTCACCTCCTCTATGGGCAGATCCTGAAGCTGTGGTAGGGAGCAGGAGAGAATGCCGATGAGGAACGGGGTGGGAGAGCAGACAATGTCAATCATGGGAGCTGGGAGGACAGGGATGTAGGTGTGCTGCCAGGTGAAGGGGTAAAGCATTGCAACCACAGCGTGCCCGCATTTAGACAAAGTGCTAAAGGGAGAGAAAACAAGTGACAAGCTGTCAGCCCACTGGTCAGGTGCCAGCTGCAAATGGACACACATGCTCCGTACTCAGGGTACGTGCAGTTCCCGCAGCAAACCGAGCAGGAATCCCCGGATCTGCAGCTCTCCTGCCTCGGTCTCACAACCCACTCCTCAAGAGGAGCACGCTGCTGCTGAAGGAAATGCTCCCTTGTTTCATTCTGTTTTGATCCCAGGTCCGCATAGCTTTTAGCATGTTTGCACTTCAAACACAGTTCAATTCTCACGTGGAGAATACTTAAAACTACCCTCTGGGTCTTTCCACACACACGTAGTCTGCAGACCTCAGAGTCGCACAGGTGGCCTCAGGCGGCCTGTATGTGGTTCAGGGCAGCCACTTTGAACACACAACTGCTTTAGAAAGACTCAAGCCTGAGTCTGTACAGAAAAAGGACTGAGAAAACAGACATCCCTCAGAGATGGAGGCGACATCCGATTCGGTTTTCACCTTAGATTGTCTGCAACAAAGATCACTCTCCTTTCCAGCAGGAGAGAGGCGCAGACGCGAATGAGGTGACAAACGCTGAGGCACTGGAACAGGCACTCAAAGTCGACATGTTCGAGCCGGGAATCCAGCGGGCGACACAGTTCAATAACCTGGGGGCAGAGCGAAGAGAAGCGGGGTTGGGCAGCGAGGTTGCAGCACAGGGACAGGCCGGGGGACTTGGGGACTGGTGTGGCGCAGCCTCTTCTGAGCATCGAGAAGCAGCGGGGGCTCCCCTCCCCTCTGGAGAACAGCTGGGGCAGGGGCAGGGGCAGGGCACCGCACCGGTTCTTCCCTTCCCTATGTGAGCTAGAGCCATTTCCGTTGGCGTTCCTCTTCTGGTGGTAGGCTGCTACCCAAGCAAATCCTACAGCGACTGTGCCACTGTTCCCAGGCCGCCTCAGCCCCGCAGCACAGCTGGCCTCTGTCCCTCTGCCCGGCTCACGAGAGCAGGAGCTTGCACGGGCAGCCAGGCTCCGTCATTACCTCGTTTCCTGCTCCTGGCAGGAAGCTCTTCACAGCGATAGTGCGTCCGGGAGCAGGGAAAGGCGCCTCCATGACGCTGCGCATGAACGGGTGCACGAGGGCTGGGGATAGCTCTCGCCTCTTCTCCACCTCGTCCAGGATCTGCAGGGAAACAACTACCCATTGCTGTGCTGTGGCTTCGCTGCTGCAGAGCAAGGCAGAGCAGGGCGTGGTGGGCGTCTCTAGGCACACGACCACAACCCCTGGCTGCAGTCAGGGCTCCAGCCCACGCTCACTCTCCTGCCTCGAGCCAGGGCTCCTGCCCGAGGGTCCTCTCAAAGGCAACCACGAGGGACGGCCCCAGCCCGCTCCCATCACAGGCACCAGAGCGACCACGGGGTCGGTATGGGGCGGGTTCCGGCTCACCTTGGAGAAGAGGTTGAAGCAGCCCAGGCGGCTCACCATGCAGTACACCTCGGGGAGTCGCTTCCCTTTCCCTTCCGGCTGCAAGACAACGGGGACACGGAGTCACGCCAGGCGCAGGAGGGAACCCAGTGCTTGCATGCAGGAGATCGACACGTTTGGCCCCTGGGACTGGATCCTGCTCCTCCAGTTCCTCGTGCTGCGGCTCCCCCCCTGCCCACTACGTAGGGGGTGGGGCACCCCAGGAACCCCCAGGGGTGGAGTGCCTCGGGGCGCCGGCAGCACCGTGCCCCCTCTCCCCTGTGTCACAGGAGCAGCGGAGGGGCCGGGAACCCCTGAGGCAGCCCGAGGAGCACAACCCAGAGCAACCCAAGAGGCTGCTGCAGACCCAGGCCGGGCTGGACTGCAAAGCTGCCCATGCCCTGCTGCATCCCGGCCCGGGCAGCAGGCCCAACCGGCAGCCTCTTACCAAGAGCTTCTTGCAGTACCCGAACCAGCGGCTGCCGTCCTCGCCCGTCAGCACGAAGGAGAAGGTTTCGCTGGGGAGCCCAAGGGGAGTCAGTCAGGCACCGCGCAGGTCATGGGGCCAGTGCGGACTTGCAGGCAACGGGGCTGGGTGGGGGCAGATGCGCCGTGCAGCCCGCCACCCCCCCGCAGCCCTGCCACTGCCAGGCAGGGCGCCCAGAAGGGGCCGCACCTTGCACAGGCAGTGGGCCCCCGCTCCTCCACTCTGCCCAGGAGCGAGGGCAGCAGCTGCTGCAGCCTGGAGCAGCACACCCTCACAACGGAGAAGGGCCCCACTGGGACCGCAGGAGGGGGATGAGACGGCATCCGTCTGGGAGAAGAGGGGAGTGCCCCCTTCCTCACTCCCCCACCCCACTTCCTTTGGGCTCCAGGCCTCCCAGGTCTGGGCCAGGACCGTCCCGTCCCACGTGGCCTCAACCCGAGGGCAGGCAAGGGCCCGAGGGAGGACTCAGCCCAGCATCAGCTCACAACACAGCTTTACCTTTTGAGCTCTGAAGCAGGAACCCAGTCCTTGGGATCTGGAAAGCAGAACCCAGGGATGACTTTCAGCCGCTCCTCAGTGTCCTTGGACTGCCGAAAGGGATGTTCAGGCTGAGGAGGGAACACACCAGTTACAGATGCCAGCGAGCTCAGGCATGTGGCTGCAAGACCTTACAGTGGGGAGCGTCTCCTCCCTGCCCCGGTGCTTCAGTGCATCAACCCCGTGCCTGCTGTGAGCCTGCAGAAGACGCTGGTTGCACCCGGCTTCCCTGAGGCTCGAGGCACAGGTCCCCAGGGCATCTCCATGGGCTGCGTCCACGTCTCATGTGCCTGGGACACGCTTCTCATCGCTCAGCTCCCCGAAGAGGCAGCTGCGTTCCTGACCCTGTGCTCCCAAGCACGCAGCAGAGACCTGCCCTGGCTTGCACCTTTAGCAGAGGGTGTGATTTCAAGGTGCTGCCCAGAGTGCCTGGAAATCAGCACAGGGTGTGAGGGCCATTTCAAGCTCACGGGGCTGTCTGTAGCATGAGGACCCACCCCAGGCCTGCACTGGGAAGAAGTCACCACTTGTGTTAACAGACATCCTCTCCGGGGACTAGAGACCTGATCCATCAGCCTACGGGCAGCACATCCCCATGGCCCGTTTTGAAGGGGAGCACTGGGGCATTGCAGCCATGGGGCAAGGAGCGCACAGAGCCTCGGGGCTCAGGCCCCTCCTGTGTGCCCCAGCCCGTTCCCACCAGCCCCCCCGCCACAGGGGCACCTCCGTGCAGGACACGGACTTGCATCCTCTCCCCTCGGGACACACGTTACACGTGCCAAATGGCAGCAAAGCTTATTTCAGCATCACAAGAGGAGACCGCCCCCAGAAAAGGGACCGCAAGGCAGCAGCATTTATTTTCGCCAGACCTCTGTTGCGCAGGGGCTGCGCCGGACCCCAACCCACAGCCCATCGAGGGGCTGACAAGCAGATAACCAGGAAGCCGTGCTATTTTTACTCTGAGGGCAAGTCTGTACTCAGCCCGCCCACGGTATAATCATGGCTCCATAATTACGGTGCAATGTTTCCTGCGGGATCCCGGCACAAACGACCCTCCTGCGTAAATCCCTGTCACACTCAACAGCGGGGCAGAGCGGGAACAGGCAGCGAGAAAAATCACCAGTTCTGCCGGGCTGGCTGGGAGAGCAGGAAAGCAGCCTGGCGGCGGGGCTGGACCCCTTCCCGCCGGGAGGGCAGCAAGCAAGGAAGAGCCTTTCTCCCGCCTCCCACCTGTCGTCACACGGGTCACAGTGGCAAAGCGCACGGTCACGTCGTGGTCTTGTAGCCTTTTAACCTTGAGCATTGGTGCTCCAGGGAGACGTGGTCGTGCACGCTGTGCTGAGGCTGCGCGCTTGCTGGCAGGGACCCTGCCTCGATCTGGAAATCCAGCACCTTTGCACCAGCGCACAACTCCACGGAAAGCCCCTCGCGGCCCCGGGGCCAGGCCCGCGCATGTAAAATGGACGCTGCTTTATGGAAAGGAGACACCCCATCCCAGCAACCGAAGGAGGCTGGACGAGAGCGGCACGGGCTCGCTTCTCAGCAAGGTGCTTCGGGGGAAGCCCGTTGGGGCAAGGTGCAGCAACAGCCGACTGCGCTGTGCCACCCACGGCTGCCCGAGGGCCCCGGCCCCCAGCAACCTGCCTCCAACGGCTTTCTCTTCACACGTCCCGTGCCAACGCCAACCTCGCTGCGCGCGTGAACGGACAAACAGAGCAAAGGCCTCGGTCCAGTGAGCTGGGTCTGGTTTGCAGCCCAAGAGCTGCCACAGGTCACCTCAGCCTTGCTCCCTTCAGCGTGCCCAAACACGGGGGTGAAAGAACGAGAGCCCCTGGGGAAGCCGTGGCGCCCCGTGTGCTCCCCCCTCAGCGGCGCAGAAGGCGGCATGGATGAGGGCTGCCCAGCCTGGGGAAAGCAGGGCTCTGCCACTCTCCTGCCACAGCCCTGTGGCTGCCTCGGCAGCCCAGCACGAGGTGCCACGGCTTGGCAGCGTCTCCGGGAAAACGAGCAGGAGCCTGCCTGGTGCCGACAGAAGCAACGGCTTGCCCACCTCAGCCCGGTGGGATGCAGGAGGCTGGCACAGGCGCCCCGGTTTCCCAGCACAGAGCCGTCTCATCCGTGGAGGAGCACAGCAGCAGTGTTTTCAGCTCAGCCGGCCTCAGAGGCAAACCAAACCCAGCCCCCTCGGGCATGACGAACTCGCAGCAGGGAGCTTGCGCAGCAGAGGAGCCCGTCCACGTGCCTCCCCCACAGCTGGTCCCACCCTCTCCCCTGGCTGCGCCAGCCCGGGGCTGGTCCCCTCGACTCCTTCCTCGGTGGGCTTCTCAGACACGCGGGCGGATGGGATCCGATGCATCACAGCCCCACGGGATTACTGTGCGGCGAGACGCACGGTGTGCCAGGCCACACGGAGCAAGAGTCAGGACGCGGCCTGCCGCAGCACAGACCCAGCCACATCCACGCCGAGCAATGTTTAGGCTGGAAAAGGAGCCTGATAAATTATTGTTTACGGAGCAGCAGCACGAAGGCTGAAGTTAGCTGCAACCTGGGTTCTTCAAGCACTACGCAGCGGCCTTGCTCCCCGCCACACACAACTTAGCAATGACACCAAGCAGCACCAGCCCCAAAGGCGCTCAAGCTCCAGCGCCCGGCGAGGACCAGAGACACTGCACGCACCCACGACAGACAGCCACGGGCCAGCTCCTCTGGACCCGATGCATTTGCTCAAACCACAAGCGGCACGGGTTTGTTCTCTGTCCCTTGGAGGACGGGACACGCATGCACATGCGCCCTCCCCAACTTCCAAAAAGCCACCGAGGAGGCAGAAGGATCCAGCACAGCAGGCTTGAAAGCATCAGGCTGTGGTGGGTCAGGTCAGGGGGCTTCCCGCAGCAAGCCTGAAGTAAGAGGGTCCCCTTTGCAGAGGAAATCTACGGTCCCTCTTTTCCACGGGCCACAGCTGGGGCCAGGAAGGCTCCTGTGCACAGGCCACTGAGCACCTCAGTCTTTCACCTTCCTTCCTCTGTGCCCCACAAGGCAGGGCAGTTTTAGTATCCCCATCCCACAGGTGGGGAAGGGATTCAGCCCATCCAAAACCATAGAGGGTTTATAGCAGTGCTAAGAGCTGAACCCTAGTCTCAACTCCCAGGCCAGCACCAGCCTCTGCACAGAGCCCTGGAGGGGAGCAGCACTGGGAGGGAAAAGATCAGGATCAGCTCACGCGGGCGTAGGGAGCAGGGGATGTGGTGGGTGGAGGCATCTGCGTGGCACCCACCTTGCTGGGGAACTGCTGTATGATCTGCGGCGTGTAGCTCGCCTCGGCCGACTTCTTTTGCAGCGATACCACCACAAAGAGCTCGAACAGCTGCTGCTCCTGGAGCTCAATCAGGTCCCGCTCCAGCGTCTGGTAGTGCGGGTTCCTCTTGGAGGCCACCTGCACCTGCAGCAGGCGCTTGTGCCGACCTGCGGGGCAGGGAGTGCTTAGCGATGCCACGCTGCGGCCAGCTGTCGGGACACGACAGCAGCATGCCAGGTAACGGGCAAGCGGTTCCCTGTCACGGGAAGGGACAGCAGGACTCGGCCCGAGTCTCAGGTCCCTGGGCACAGAACGGACAGGAGCGTTAGCCCTCAACATGCAGCCACCCTCGGGCCCCTTTGCCAGACGCCTTGTTGCAGCCTGGCACCGGGAATACCAAGGACGGCAATCGGTAGCTGTCCGGGGCTCCTCCTACAGCCCCTCCTGGCACAGCGGAGGTGCCCAAGTGCTGACGAGTCTGAGGAGGGGCGGCTGCAAGGGACCGAACCTCACTGGTGCCCGTGCATTGGGAAGGAGGTGTCGGGAACCCTGGCCCACCTCAGGTGCGCCCACGGGGCAACGCTCTGCAGCAAGGGGCCTCGAGGCTGCAGCAGGGGCTGGCTCGTGCAGCACCACAGCAGCCAAGGGAGCTGAGAGCGCCTGGCAGCAAGACCTGCCCTGGGGGCTCCCACTGATGGCCAGGCCCAGCCCGGCTCGCTCACACCCAGACTCGCCTGCTCCAGGTCAGGTCACAGCCTCCCTTCCCCCTAGACACGCGCGCACACACAGACCCCTCAGCCCCAAGGCCTCTCGGGCATCATCCGGAGGGCAGAAACATGTTAATCAATCCAGCGGTGCTGTGGTTATGAGCATGCCCATGCTCAGGGCTGTCGGCTAAGCTTTGCAACTCGGTGCTGGCCCCAGGCACCGGGACGCTTGGACCCGAGCAAGCCGGGCCCTGAGCTCCGGCCCGGGCTGGGGAACGCCCCCACAGCTCTCCAGCGACTCCCCCCTGCCACTGCAAGGCAGAGCGCGCTAGCTGCGCCGCGGGAACAGGTCCGGCTGCGCTGACTCACTCCTGCTCACCCACCTTTTGGCAGATTCTCCGAGTCACTTTCGTTCCCGCTGGTTTCACCTGAAACACACAGTTGCCATCCACGTCAGCAGGGAGGGGGGCTTCACCGCCTTTGCCGGGAGCTGCCCCAGCTCCGTTATGGACCGGGATCCTCCACGTGTACTCGCATAAGGGACTTCCCGGGCTTGGTTTTCAGAGATGAATGCCTGCAGCCCCCGCCCCAGCCCCCGCGAGATACAGGGGCCTGCACAGCTGAGACACGGACGCCTGCGGCACGGTTCGCTCCTTCTCCGAGCAGCAGCGGCTGCAGCGAAAGCCCTCCCCTCTCCCCAGCACACGGGAACCAAGCATGCCCCTGGCAGCGTCTCTGTACCTTTGGATGCAGGCACTTCTTTCCCTGTGCAAGGCTGCAGCTTCACCCTCTTCTTCCCGCGTTTGGAATCAAAGATCTCCTGTATCTTTACCACAAGCTGGAAGCCAAAGCAGCAGCAATGAGCACAGGCCACGTGTCACGTGAATCTGGGAGACAGCAGAGGCCGGGAGGTCTCGCGCAGATGCAGGTGTGGGCAGGAAACACTGCCCCCAAACCCGGCATGAGGGGACCAGTCCCAGTGCCACCGACAGTGCCCAGCACCTGGGTCCGTCAGGGTCTTTACAGCAATGCACCCAAGGGCACTGCACGGCCCAGCTCAGGCACAGGAACTCAGTGCGCTCCGGCGGCCAAGGGGGAGAGGGCCAGGCTGCAAGGGAGGTCTGACGTTAGGAGCTAAAGCAGCTGCTGCGGGACGCCCCTTGGCAAGGCCAGGCAGCGCAGGGCCCAGCGCGGCGTGGCCGACTCCCCTGAACGGGACGCAGCGCTCTGGCCACAGGGGCAGGAGGGTATTTCCAAGGCACCAGGTCACAGGCTGCCGGCCGCGAGCTGGGTGAAGTCCTGGCCAGGAGGGGTACTGAGGTGCATGGATTCGGGGCAGAAAACCCCGCGGGGACTGAGCAAGTGCCTGCCGCAGGGGCCGGGCACGAGTGGAGGGGACCCGGCAGCGCTCTTGCCCCCAGGGCAGTGCTCCACGGTCTTGCGGCTGCCCAAACCACACCAATTGCGGGAAATGGGTGCCAGATACATGAAGGGGGTGCGGCCCAGCCAGGGGCAGGGCTGAGGTGCGCCTCCTCTCTGCGTGCCGCAGCCTGCAGGCTCCTTGCTGGGGAGAGGGCGGACAGCAGGGAGCAAGTCAAGTTCCCGCTTGCCCCAGCTGCAGAACCTGGTGCTTGCTCCCAGGGAAGGCACCGGGCGAGGCCAGCGCTGTCCCCACAGATAGCGCGCAGACAGATAGACAGCTGCAGACACAACCTGCCCAGCGGCTCTGGGCCGATCCCCACGCACAGGGCGCAAGGCCCCAGCTCCCCACACTTCCCCCTCCGTCCTGATTTTCTGGAGCGGGGACAGGCCTGGCAGCCCCTTGCTCCCCTCCTGCCACCCACCCGCACCGGGAGGGCTGCGGCCACGGCTTGGCTCGCAGCACGGGCTCTCTGCAGCACAGGGACAGATGCTGGGCGCCAGCAAGGGGGCTTGTCCGGCTTGAGAGGCTCCCCTTCGGGGCTGAAAACCTTCCCCTGCCTCGAGCCTCTCCAGCAAACCTAGCCGAGCCCTCGGAGCACGGAGAGAACAACGCGCGCTTCCTGCACGCAAATTGCTCCCAGATTTCTGGACCGGGCTGGGGCGCGGGGGCTGGCTGTCCTCTCTCTGCAGGAAGGAGGATGCTCTCAATCGTGGCACTCGCGGGGTTGTGACCCTCCTCCCCCACCCCCTCCTGGGCGTGTGTAACGCACACAAACCCATTCAACGCCAGGACAGCTCAGCCCTGCTCCCGCTCCCCCACACAGCCCACAAACATCCGTGGTTTGTGGAGCAGGAAGTGGAGCTGGAAGGCGAGTGACCCCAGCCAGGAGCAGAGCAGTGCTGCCCTCAGCCCACCGCAGCAGCTGCTGCCGCCCCCCCACCGCGGCGGGGGCAGGGGCTTGACGGGGCTCTTGGGAGCCTTCCCCCAGCCCCAGCAGGAGGTGACGGCAAGGCAGAAGCCAGCGCCTTCCCGATCGCCTGACCTCAGAGGCATGAAGCACCCTTAGTCACGGCGGCAGGGAGTGGCAGAGGCCAGCACAAGAACTGTATCAGCACGCTATCGAACGGGCCTGTTCCTGAGGAAGTGCTCAGCAGCTGCAGCCACCAGACAGCCACGCGAGCACCGCACGGATCCCGCATCCGGCCCCTGAACTAGCGCTCCCCCAGCTGAGCCCTCGCCAGGCTGGGCTGAGGGCAGCGCTCGGCAGCCCCAGTGGAACCGACCGGCTGCGCTGCTGCCCCCTGCTCTCCCCCGCGCCCAGCCTCTGCCCGCGGGCATGGTGCCCACCACAGGCTGCGACCGGGGGGCGGTGCTCGGGC